CTCAATGACACTCTCCTAGTTAGAAAAGATAATTTGACATCAATTTTATCCTTTTGTGGTTCATATAATCTGGGCAACTAATCTTTTTCTCTCTCGTTTATTATTCTTCAACGATTCTCACTATTCTTTTTTAAATTCAAGAACTAAAAAATAAATAAATAAAATTTTAAATCAAAACATAAAAATTTAAAACTAAAAGGGCCAAATATGAAATTCTATAAGCAATTTTTTTTAAAGGCATTGGATAATCAGTGATAAAATAGAAAAAGCCCTCCTTTTTTTCCTTTTTATCAATTTTGATCTCATCATTTTTAGTTTTTCTTGGAGAATCAAACTATTTGTTTTTTTTTTGCAAAATTAAGCATGAATCCAAGATTGAGATTTGTTATTGCATTACAATAACCTTGTAGAAATTTAATTGAAAAAATTATTAAATTCAATTTTTTATCAACCAAATATTTAAAAATAAAATTAAAAAAAGTTTGATATTAGGATAAAAAAAAGTTAAACATTGTAGGAACAATAACAAAAAAAAGGAAAAACCATCTTTTTTTTGCCTTATTGTCAATGTTGATCTTCTTATTTTTTATTTTTTACAAACAATCAAAATCAATTTCTGATATAGTAAAATCAAGCATCAATTCCATATTAAATTTGTTGTTACATCATGACAATTCAGGTAATTATTATAAATTATCAAGTTTAATATTTAATAAATACAGTGTGTAAGAATAAAATTAAAAACAATTAATAATAAATTACAAAAAAAAGGACTAGAAAAAGAAAAACATGGTGGGAATTAGCAGTGTTTTGGAAGATAGTAAGATCTCATTTAGGTAACAGCTAGTCATCCACCATTTCCTACCAAAAATAAAAACAATTTGATTACTCTTGCCATTCCTCTTGAACTCAACAATATATTATTAACTCGACTTATTCATGATAAATACGTATGTTAATGGTGACATAGAGACATGTTGTTCGGCTCGGCATATCATGTCCAATGTCGATGTCACACCTCTTTTGCATTTAATTTCACTACCAAACAAATTCACCACTTAACTAGCTAGTCTGCGCGCCACTCATGACATGATTTTTTTCTCCCCTTTTATGTTTTTGAAAATTTTATGGTATGTATCTTTTTTTATAAAAATGTGATAATAATTATTTTTTAAAATATTTTTTATTTTAAAATATATTAAAATAATATTTTTTATTTTTAAAAAATTATTTTTAAGAACAGTATATTAAAATAATCTAAAAAATTATTAATTTAAAATAAAAAATAAAAAAATTTAAATTTTTTAAAGATTTTTCAACCACAATATCAAATATCACCTAATAAGTTATTAATAATTTAAGAATTATTTGTAATAATTTCTAGATCATTGTAAATAACAAGCCAATTTTTTTAAGACATATATTTCTTTTTACGTTTTAAGAAAATTAAGTTCCCCCCAGCACCACAACATAGACATACAAGCTAAAAATACTTAATCTAAAATGTTATTAATTTTTTATAGCATTTTATTTTTTTCAACTTAGTTTTTAAATTTATTTAATGATTGCAATTGAATTTAGAAAAAATATTGCTAATTTTTAATCCATATTTATTTTATTGACTGTCGAATTTTAATTTTTAATTACTATGAATTTTCAAAAGAAAAAATTATTGTTACATCATTTAATTTCATAATTTCAACTTAACTGAAAAGTAACAAGTATCCACATAGCATATAATTGAAAGACCTCATCGATATGGGCTGATCGATGGTTTTCTCGCGTTTACAATCTACAAAATATGTTGAAAATTATAATTCAATTTTTGTCATTAAAAGTTTTTATCTTTTTTTTTTCCAACTTAATATCAATGTTTTAATTTTTCTCTTTTCTATTTGCGTTAGCCGCAGGGGGGGCTCGTTTTGTACACTGATTTTTTCCTCTATTACTATCTCCTAATAATTTCAACCACCCTTATCATAATATTAATCATCATTATTTTACAATTATTATTGTAATAATCAAATTATCTTGTAATAATTTAATTTATTAAAGATTTATTTAATTATTAATTTTAAAATTTATAAAAAATAATTAAAATATATAAAAACTGATATGAAAAATTTACATAAATAAAAAAAATTATATATAATTCCAACTAACATATAATTGAGTTCCTATATTATTATTTTTATTATATATTTATTAACAACATTATTTTGTTGTCTAATCAACAATCAATACAACCACCATAGATCTCTCCTTTACATTTCTCTTTATTATTTTTTATTATCGCAACAACCACTAGTACCTCCACCACAATTATTATCATTATCACAACCACCATTAATTTATTTTTTTATAATTATTCTCATTATCATAACCTCCACCAATCTCTCTCTCATCTTTCATTATTACAACCACCACCACCACCTTCTAACCTCACCTTCATTAATACTGCTATTATATATTTTGTTGTATTGTACCAATCATTTAAAACGTGTTTGGTAATGTGTTAACGATTGCTTTTCAAATAACTTTTCATGTCGAAATGCATGCCAATAATTTTTTTTATTTTTTAAAAGTTATTTTTAACAGTAGTACATCAAAACGATCCAAAACGTACAAATCATATTATATTTTAACAAAACCAAAAAATAAATTTTTTTAATATTTTTTAGAAACACAGATTCAACCACGTTCCCAAATAATCCCTTATTAATCACAATTAAATAACTTATATATTTGACACCATTAGTCCTAATCATGTTACCACCACTCTATAACCTATATATATATATATTAAAAAGATATACTTAAAAAAATTATATTTAAGAATTTATTTTCTTGCAAATCAAACACACTTGGAGCACAACAAAGATTTTTTAGATGTTTGAAAATATAATGAAGATTATTTTTTAAAATATTTTTAATTTAAAAATATATCAAAATAATATTTTTGTTATGAGCATATTAAAATAATAAAAATATTAAAAAATAATTTTAAATAAAAAATTGAAAAGATATGCTTCCAAAAAAGCCAAAACACAAAGAGACTAGAACATACAATACCATGCACAATACACTCAGCATAAATACTAGGATTTAGGATTTAACCCGATATGTCCAACTTTTTCTGCGTACAAAGAAGGCACCGATACAATATAGTTGAAAGAAAATACAAGACAGTTGGGATCAAGGGGTTTGCTCCCTCTGTGATCTCAGGTTCGAGTCCTTGGTTGCTCATATGATGGCCACTGGAGGCTTATATGGTCGTTAACTTCAGGGCCCGTGAGATTAGTCGTGTTGTGCGCAAGCTGGCCCGGACACCCACGTTAATCTAAAAAAAAAAAAATACAAGACACTTGTCAAAAATTAAATTTTAAGTGACCTCTTGCGTGAACTTCTTGATCTTTTATTGAAACTTAAAAGCATGGATAAGATGACCCACAATTTTTTTACAACTGCACGCAAAATCTTAGAAGCAAATTCAATGAAAAGTTGTAGTTGTTGATTGTAGTATTTTATTACATCTTCCTTCAATGAACTAGAATTTTGCCAACGATCTTCGCTGTTGTAGTCCCATGTTTACCTTCGCTCCCTTCTGCTCGAGGTAAAAGCTTGCAACTTCTGGTAAACGTTTGAACTAGATATGTCTGCGTCACGTATTTTTTCATTTAATGTAAAAATAATGATTTTCATTTTAAGAAGGACGTACAAAAAAGAAAAATTAGTTGAAAACTCACTATCATCCTGTTATGAATACAACTATTTTATAGGCATTAACAACTTTATTTTAATGAAGAACCTAAGCAAAACAAAGCGGAAAAAAAGCAAACACAACGATGACCATGGTAGGGTCACCAAAACAAGATCTCCACGTATTAAAATTAAGGAAAGGCCATAGCTCTCACCAAATCTTGTTCTTTATCAGACTCTCATTACAATAGTTCATAGTTAAAAAAGTCACGTAGATATGAGGCAAAAAACATTGCACAACAACATATAAGAGACTCTGTGTTATATCAAAACATGTTGAAAACGTATCTCCCTACAAACTTTATAATTATAAAGATGAATTTGAAAAAGTGCAACAACCTATTTGATTTTAAAGAGCACATTAAAAATAGTATTGAATTGGTGATCTAAGATACTATGCCATGAATAAAATTCTCTCCATCATTTTTTATGGGTGATCCTGAGCCTGAGCCTGGAATTATAATCTAGAGCCAGACTTTATACTTAGCTTTGCTGATGTGTGTCATAAGGTCATCACTCGCTTCAACATTAATATACCAGATGTCAAATTAAAATGTAAAACTAGATTCTATTTTATAAAATTAATCTTTAATTTAATTTTAAGATTTTTTTAATACTTTACACGGGTGAATCCATATAAAAAGAAAGAAATCGTATGCATAAAATGATATCAACATAAGTTGCGAGAGTGAAACTCAAAAGAAATAAACTATATCTAAAATCTACACTAAAATTGTGTATAGTTTTAGTTTTATTAAAATGTAATTGTAATATGATGTAATTATTACCCTGCAATATTGTATTGAAATGTAGGTGGTTAATTAACTCTTTTTTTGTTTACAATTAATAGGTGGTCAATTTAGAATATAATTAACAATTTTATAATCCTAATTTTAACAAAATCATAGAATATTGATAAATAAATCGAAGCATGCTTTCTATTTTTGGTTACCAAATTCTGTGCAAGTAAAGACTGGAAGAAACCTTTTTCCACTTATAACTCCTGATCAGAGTAGTTAGGCATACCAGCACCCCAATCCGCTTTAAGCAAAAAAATTCAGCCAATTGAAAGTTGACAGTCTTTTGATTAAATTGAATTACAACGGCCAATCACAATCACTCGTTCTTAATTTATTTTAAATTTCTTAGACATGGAGGATTGCGCCTAAAACCAACACTCATGAATTAAGATTAAGAGTCATGTTCAGTAATGGGGCTGTAAAGAAAACTTCTATATATATCCCTACTTCCTACACACCGATTTTCAGCTTGTCCTCGTGCTACGCACAGAAGATGGCAATGACCCAGGTCGCTCGTGAGTTTGCACCTAAGGTACAAATTGAAGCTGTGCAAACAGTGTCACCCTCCTCGGTGACTGATCCAAGGGAGATATGCCTGGTGTCAGTGAAGGACCCTGTTGGCTCAAATATTTTCCGGGGGTGCCTAAACATAGTCCTTTACTACAATAAAGCCGGGGAGGAGGATTCCGGTTGGCTAGTTGCCGGATGGATTAGGGAGTCCCTAGGGAGGGCATTGAATGATCAACCGATGCTTGGTGGACGGCTATGGAGAGGTGAAGATGGTAATGGAGAACTAGAGATGGTGTCAAATGATAGCGGAGCTAGACTTGTTGAGGCAAAGATTACAATGACTTTGCGAGAGTTTCTTGGTTTGGAAGAAAGGGAAAAATTAGAAGCTGAACTCGTCACCTGGAAGGATATTGATGAAAAGAATCCCCAATTCTCTCCACTGCTCTATGTTCAGGTAAGTCGAGTAGTAATTTGTAGTCAACTATATTGATTTAACACGTTGATGTCAGAGGATATACATAATTTCATGCTTTTGTAGAAAAATGGTGCGTAGCAGAACATAAGGGTGTTTTTTTCCCTTTTCAGGTCACTAACTTCCAGTGTGGTGGGTACTCAATTGGGATTAGCTCTAGTCTTCTTTTGGCAGACCTTTTAATCATGGACAACTTCCTCATGAGGTGGGCAAGTATTCAGAAGAATTTACTGTCCATCAATGATGCTCTCAAGATGCCCATATTCTACCTCCCCGCTCTCAAACACACTAGCCTATCTCCTAATAGCACTATTATCCCCACGCCTAGCGAACGCAGTTGGGAAACAAAGATATTCAAGATCTCAGGCGATACCGAGATTGAGGGTGCGAAGAACGAATTATTCAAGAGGGCTGCGTCACTTTGCATTGAGAAGGCAGAGCGCGAACTGGGCAGTGAAATGTCAGCAGGGTTTTCTTTGTTTGTGAAAGAATCTTCTAACGTTATAAGGGTCCAAAATTGCAAGAAAAATGAGCTTGTAAAGCCTCATCTAAACCTGAGCACTCAAGTCAACTCTTTGAGCTTGGATGATTCAGGGATCAAAGAACTAGCTTTCTACGATGGCAACGAACCCGTTCATGTTTCTTGTTGGATTGGATCGGTGGCTGATGGACTTGTAGTAGCAGTTCCATCTCCTAATGGGAATACTTCCTCTGATATCAACGTTATAGTTACAATCCCTGAAGGAAAGGAGTTTTAAGTAAGCTTTGGTTTAGCCCAGTGTGGGTGTCTTTTTTTCTTTCCGCTTCATTTAAATTCTGAAGTGTGCATCTGTAATGACATTGCATGTATTGTTCTGTCAAAGTTAATCTCTATTTTTAGATTGATATAAATTAATTACATAATGTTTGTATAATTTAATCCTGAATTCTTCCCTTGTTTTGGAGATTAATGTTTGATCAAGAGTGTGTGAGCTAGTCATGCATTGTTTGCCTTCCTTTGAAAACATGATGCCTTGAAAACAACAGGTTTGAACATTCATCCAGAGTGAGATTTTCTTGATTCTAGGCCAAATTAACTCAAATGTCTTTTTGAACTTGCGCACTAACTAGGCCAAATTAACTCAACTCAACTTTTTAACGTTTTTCTATTTATGAATATCTTCAATGTACAGCTAAATAAAAATAGACACAATTCTTAATCTGTATCAAGATGAAATATTTTGCTAGATTGTCTAATGAAAACCTGGATTTTTGTTTTCGGACCCAAATTAGGACCTACGATTACTGTTTTGTAATTTTTTTTTTTTTTTTTTTAATTTTTTTTCCTAGTTAAATTATGACTTTCAATATAATTAAGATTGTACTATTTTAAACGTGTTCCTTGTATTTAAATAGCTTGTAGGTTATTTCTCATAGAGGAATTTATGAAATATAGACTTTTTAGACACTATTCAAGATTTGAGAGTTTTCTATGTAAATAAAGACTATAACCTTAGGGCTTGATAACTCTAGTGTCTTTCTCTACAATTTATAGGACTGCAAAGTTTTAGAGATTGAGGCCCTAACACTTGCATTGCGTTAACGTCAGCAAAGCAGGTGCAACATTTTCAAGCTCGATTTCGACCTTGATACAACTACAATTTCAAGCTTGATTTCGACCTTGATACAACTAGTACATCTCAGAACCGGAAAATGAAAGTTGTGGAGCTTTTTCATAGCATTACATTACATATTTAATCATCTCGATCAGAACCTGAATCATAAAGTTATTCCTATATAATGCCCAAACTATCCAAAATTGCTAAATTAGCTTTATTTTTTTACTTAATATCTTTAATTGTATCCTAAATTAAAATACAAAAATAACAAGCACATTTAAAAAACAAGTATAAAAAACTAAAAGATTAAGAGAAAAAAATATGATATTTTGTATTCTTATTAAATTCCTCCATATTTTTTACTTGTTCTCGGGTAAAACTCAAATTCACTTTCCCAAAAACATTAGGGTTGCAAGGTCAACAAAAAAACAACTTAGCTCTTCAAAACTCATAACATATTATGAAAACTTCTTGCTCTAACAAATCAATTACATCAATAGAATAAACAAGATTATCATAATTAGGATATTTCATGAAAACATAAATATAATACTTAACAATTTTAACATCAAATTCCATGATAATTGTGCCATTATGAACATTTATCTTAGCCTTTGAATGTTTTTAAGAATAGTTTTTCTATCAAAATAGATGCATTTTGATCACCCTTCTTCATATCAAGCACATAGAAATCAGTAGGAAAAACCAATTCATTAACTTGCATGAAAACATCCTTAACTACACCTTCAGGATCGTATACAATAAATCTATCAATCAATTGAATGACAACACCGGTTTTATTCAAAGGTTCAACTTTCAAAAAAACATATATAAAGTATGACATGACTTTGATAGAAGCCTATAAATCTGCCATGGCATTTCTAAATCTAGCATTACCTATTATACAAAAGATAATAAATATATCTAGATCTTTGCACTTTATATGGAGTTCTCATTGAATAACTGCAAAAATATTTTCCCCTACGTTTACTTTCTCACATCTTTTAAGTTTTTATTTCCTTTTAGTTGTCCACAGTTCTTTTAGAAAATTATCATAATGAGGTCTAATAATATTTAAAAGTGGAATATTTACATCGTATTTATAAAAAGTTTCATATAAATTTTTATCTTGTGCATTTTTTCTAGACTATGCTAAAGCATGAAGGAAAAAATGTACTAATTTATAATTAAAAAGGAGCGAAAACTTATGCTTGGGTATCACATTGTCATTGGAAATGTTCCTGTATGCAAAGATATTTTTCTCTTTTTCTTGCTTTGACGAGTCAGGGTCTACCTTTACTAGAATATCAAAACGATTACACTTGCATTTTCTCTTAGATTTACTACCATTTAAAAAGGTAATTTTTCCTTGCACCTTTAGTTGACTAATTGTAGTTTTCATTTGGCCTATCTAATTGTCAAACTTTAAATATTAGCCCCTACCCCTTGTTGAAAGTGTTTCATCTCTTGCGAAAATTGCAAAGTATTGGTAGCAGGAGACTTAATAATATCATTTAAAGACATACCAGAATCAGAAGTTTGGCCTAGTTGTTGCTTAGAGGGTTATGACTACTTATATTCCTGGCAACTTAGATAATTTTTAGTTGCGGGCTGATTTATTTGTGGATTCCAATAGTTAAGATTGAAGTGATCCCTTCATCTTGGGTTTAGATGAGGTACAAGATGCTTTGATTCTTGCTGTATAAAATCCAATTGATAATTGGATTCTTGATTATGGTGCTTTATTTCACTGTACACCACACCATAAAATGATGTAAAACTATGTTGCTGGAAATTACGGTGTAGTCTATCTAACCGATGGACAACTAATAAATATTGTAGGCATAGGAGATGTGCAAATCAAGAAAATAAATGGATATATATATGAAACTTACAAAATACAAGACAAGTTCATGAATTAAAGAAGAAACTAACCTTCACTGGACAGCTTAACAATAGTTTTCATTTAATCTTTTTTTTCTAAAGGTACGTGGAAAGTGTCAAAGAGAACAGTAGTTTTAGCTCGTGGAAAGAAAATCAAAACCTTATATATGACCACAAGATTTGAAGGCATTATTACCTCTACTAAAGTAGAAAATTAGGCAAAGCTATGGTACTGTAGATTTTGCCATATGAGTCAAAAAAGGATGAAGATACTTCAATCAAAGAGAAAGCTGCCAAAGTTAAAAAAATATTGATTAGACATTTATGAAAGTTGTATTTTTAGAAGAAAAAAAAGCTCAATTTCTTGAAAGTTAGCAAGAATTTAAGACCAAGAAAGCTAGAACTGGTACACACAAATTTATAGGGACCTTCTCAAGCGTCATCTGTTAGAGGTTCTTAGTATGATATGACTTTCATTTATGATTTCAATAGGAACGTATAGGTCTCCTTTTAAAAAAATAAATCTGATATGTTTAAAACATTCAAAAAATAGAATGCTATAATTGAGACTAAATTAGGATTGAAGTTGAAATGCTTGAGATCTGATCATGAAGGAGAATATATTAATGAAGGTTTCAAAAAGTATTGTACTGTCAATGGTATCAAAATAGAAAAGACTATTTTAGGCACACCATAATAGAATGGAATTATTGAACAAATGAATAGGACCATCAATGAATGAGTTAGAAGCATAAGGTTGCATTTAGGGTTACCTCAAACATTTTAGGTTGACATAGTTCATACTGCAGTTTACTTGATCAACTATGAACTATTAGTTCCTTTGGAATTCAAATTGTTCGAGGAAGTATAAAAAGGAAAAAAAGTACAACTCCCTCATCTAAAGGTCTTTGGGTGTGTTTTCTATATTCATATATAGTCTGATACTCGCAATAAGCTAGATGTCAAATCCAAAAAATGTTTTTTCATTGGCTATGAAGATAAAGAATTTGGATTTCAATTATGGGATGATCGGAATTGAAATATTATTAGAAGTAGGATCGTGATCTTCAATGAGAAAATTTTATACAAAGATAAATCAAGTGTAAAAACAAATGTGGCTAATTCAGATACAAGTCCATAAAAATATGAATTCATAAAATTAAAAGGGCTTTCTGATGTTACCTAGCAGAACAAAAATCAAGAGCCTTTACAAAAAGATTTAAGCACATCTATACCTATTACTACACAGGAAGATACAGAGTCAAGTGAATCTATTGTTTATGTTTGCAGGTCTTCAAGGACTGTAAAGCCCCCACAACGGTTCATACTTCTATTGAATTATATTTTGCTGATAGATGGTGATGAATCGTAAATTTATAAAGAATCATTACAAGATAAAAACTTAAATAGGTAGGAGTTAGCCATAAAGGATGAGATGGATTCTTTATTGAAGAATAACACGTGAAAACTAACCTACTTGAATGAAAGAAAGATTTGCAGCACAAGTGCATTTATAAAGTAAAGACTAGGCATGATGAAAGCAAATAGTTCAAGGCAAAACTTGTTGTAAAAGGGTTTTAACAAAAAAAAAAGGATTGACTACTCTGAGATATTTTCTACAGTTGTGAAGCTCGCAACAATCAGAGTTGTAATAGGGATAGTAACTATAAAAAATTTACATCTTAAACAACTAAATGTAAAAATAGCATTTCTTTATGTTGACTTGGAGGAAGACATTTATATGTAACAACTAGAGAGGTTTACAATACAAAGAAAGGAGAATCAAGTCCGTAAGTTAAAGAAAAGCCTATACGGTTTGAAGCAAACTCCAAGACAATGGTACAAGAAGTTTGACAACTTCATGTACAGTTTGGGGTACACAAGATGCCAAGCTGATCATTTTTGTTATGTCAAATATTTTGATAATTTTACATCATTCTACTGTTACTTATAAATGATATGTTGATTGTAGGATCCAGCATTGAAGAGATTGAAAAGTTGAAATAGTAGTTGTCAAAACAGTTTGAAATGAAGAATTTGGGAGGTACTAAACAAATACTTGATATGAGAATCGTTAAAGATAAAGACAAAGGCATACTAAAGCTTTTACAAATAGAGTATGTCAAGAAGGTTCTCAACAGGTTTAATATGGATAATGTTAAACTAATAAGTATACCTCTAGGGAATCATTTCAAGCTCAACAAAATTGAACTAGAATGTGGATATATGGATAAGATTCCATACGACTCAACTATCGCTCTGGGGAATCATTTCAAGCTCAGTAAAATTGAACTAGAATGTGGATATATGGATAAGATTCCATACGACTCAACTATCGACTTTTTAATGTACCATGCTAATGGTACAAAGCTTTCCAGGATGCTCTTTTGCATTTTGGATTTGTTCACTCTGCTACGGACACTTCTTTATTCATTTATGTCTCTAATAATGTTTTATGCTATTGTCTTGTGTATG